GGGATTACATGTACGAAGTTGGTAGTGTCCAGGACAAATTCTTACGCTGTTACTGTGGATCTTCGCAATGCCGGGGACGGTTGTTATGACAACACCACCGGCGACTTTATACTCGTACCTTAGGGAGGGAGGGATAGTGGTTTTATTGTAAATATTATTTTTCTCTAAGTGTGAATATGATTCATACCTCCAAGCATGTCACGTACTTAATCACCCCCTCCCCACCCCCATCAATATCCAATTTCGTCTACCTACCCCTCCCACAGTGAACCTGATTTTTATATTTTTGTAATACAGATTAAGAATAAAGGAATTCATTGTACACGTATTTGGATTGATTTACTGATGTCTTCGTCAAATAGACAGGGTCCGTGCAGGTCCTTAAATCCTTGAACATTGCTTGAATTGAAAACTCGTTCTCAAGGGCATTGAAACTCCTTGAAAATTTGAAAACTTCGAAAAAGTCCTTGAAAAAAGATAGATCTCGATCACAAAGCGATAGCGATTTCTGAATTATTCCGTTCGGCTGAAATTGTGACGTAAAAATCTACAATTAGCATGATTATGATGTTCCTTGGATATACAATTTTGGTCCTTGAAAAGTCCTTAAATTTCGTTTTTGATACTCTGCACGGACCCCGAATAGACCATGTGGAGTGTTGACCAGATTGTGAAGTATTTACTGTCAGACAGTCTTAGACCCTGTTTACATGAGATAGGGAGCCCCTAGTGGTAGAGCCAAATCCTTTGCGTAAGAGTTAGCCCTTCCACGTAGGGGCACGCTATCTCATGTAAACAGGGTCTAAGACCCAAAGTCCAATAAGAAGCCTTTTTTCCTATGTTGGAATGTGACTATAGTGATCACATTTAATCCGTGCGACTGTACAAACTAAATAGTGCTGTTAAGTTGTATTTAGTAAATCGTGCATGTGGTACGCAAATTAAATTGATACAAATGAAGCATTCAATACCGTCTTTGCTTCAGGTCCACTTTTAGTACAAATTCTACTTAGATTTTGTACAGTTGCACGGTTTAAGTGTGATCACTCTATTAGACAGTATTCAAGTTTGACTGGCAGTATTTGTTTCACAATCTTTTGAAAGGCACCCTAACCCGTGGAACAAGAAAAGAAAAGCAAGCGAGATGAGGACAGTTGCTACAAGAGTGAACGCAGTAAATCTTTACTCAGTAATTCTGCACCGGAAACAGGCATCCCTTGAACAACCATGCATTGTTATTTAGAGTCATTTTCATCCGTCTGTGAAATAGGAATTGTACTATTAAATACTATTACCCCCTATTAGCTCCTAATAGTTTAACTTATGACATGCGACAAACAAATTAGGCAAAAACCGATTTTTGATTTTGCCTTTTGTAGCCTACTACACCCTAGTTGTTACTCTTAAATGAGTAGTAGTGATTGTTTCACAGACGGATGAAAATGACAAATCTAAAACAAATCACCTTTCCACCATCAGACTCGTACCAAGTCGTTTCTCTTGCTCGTTTTACGGGTCGCGTTGCATCAAGGGAAGTCCGAACTACCACTTCCCTTGATCCTTTGCGCGCGACAGAGAAAAAGAAGAGTAACTGTTGGGTACGAGTCTGTTCCAACATCTGATGTAATAATTCAATAACTACGATTGATTCATTTATAATCTTCTTTACATGTGTGGATTTTACTTAAGTTTTATTGCTTTAAATACATGACAAGTCACATAAAACAGACTTCTGAACCTTTGACATTMCAACTGTGATTATACAAATGGTTTGGTTGTTTTGTGTACAGTAGAATAGCCAAAAGAGCGCAAAGAAGGCGCCGGAATACACATTGCGCAAGCAACGCAAATCGCAAGAAATACGTTGTGCAAGGTTGTCAATTCACGTTACGAATACGCGAGTTAAATGTTAGGTGTTAGGATTAACGTACGCGTTCCGCGAATTGCTCTCCTTACACACGTRTTCCGCACGCAGCACGCAATAGCATGTTACACAAGGACGTCCAATTTACGTGACTTTACGCAGTGTTACGTTAGTGTTAATGGTTATATWGATTAACGTAAYGCCACGTAAACTATARTCCTTACRCACATACTTTGCGTACCTCGCTGCGCAAGCTACTTCAGCGAAAGAGATTAGTTACGCAAGCACGTCAATTTACGTARCACGTAWAAAGTTAATTGTTCGTGTAACGCAAACTGCAGTCCTTGCGTACTTTCCTCTTGCGCATAAAAAGCGCGTAGCAATAAAAGTGCGCGCATGCATTYTGCAAGAAACCACKGTWCACAAAACTGCATTACTTAAAGAAAAGAACACTCTATACAAGGTTTTATTAAATCAAAGTATCACTGTCGCAAGCAGGAGGAATCGGTCTCATCAAGGTGACGGTGGTGGAGGGATMGCTTTTCTTCAACAGTACAATTGTGCCATCATTCCTTGATTTCAGGACTTGCGCAACTCTGATTAAAAAAATGGTTTGTATCTGTAGATAAATTAATATATATTTCAATTATGCAAGAAAAAAGTTATGTTTTTTACCTGAAATTTTTCATCCCTTCTTTATTATCCAATGTTCGTGATCAACAATTCTCTTGGAAAGTGGTCCACTGCGATCAAGCGTTCTTTTTGGTTCCATATGTATACACCTGTTCGATTTTGAGAATAGAACATTGTTAATGTTTTCGTACGCCTGTGAAAAAGTAAAACTGGTCAAAGCTGTTTCGCGGGTTTGTAAGCTTCGCATTTGATAATGATGAATAAAAAATCGAAAAAGCGTATATTTGATAACAATGACACATATACTTATCCTAACAAAACAACTAGTTGTAAACACCTAAATTAATCAAAATGCATTAGTAATCCTGAAATAGAATCGCAAAATAATTTTTGTGTGTTGTCAAGAGTTTTGGTGAAAGTCTCTTCGCGAAGAAAATCTAGTTTACATATTTAGCTTTCAGACGTTTTGGCACGACTATTCTTAGAGTTTCCTATTGTAAAACCGCCAATTATTGTACTTGCTTGTTTGGAGATATCTTTCCACACACAAGAACTATTTTAACGTCCATAAGTACAATGAAAGACAACATAAGGGAGGGATGGTTAGGGGGATTGTTGTAGTCCTAAAACAAAATTTCATTCCATATTTGATATGCCATTGCATAACATTTGTTGAAAAACACCTGAAAAAAGAAAAAAATAAAGTTAGAAAATCCAAATACTTGCCAATCTGCACTACATTCTCTGGAAATGCTCACTAGAAACAAAATAAACGAATGACTTCTTTTTACAAACTACATTTGCCAAATACATTTATACCAATTGTTCATTGTTTATTCATGTACCCAAAGTTATCAAGAACTAGTCTGGCACTGGGTGCAAGATTTAGCGCGAGCAGTTCCTAGACACTGTAATGCAAATGGCTTAACGTCATTAAGCGGAGGGCAAGACATAGTGTGAAAGAAAATAACAAGAAGTAAGTAAGAAATGAATGAAAAAAATCAGAAAATATAATGAAATGAAAACTGAGAATTGAAATACGAAAAAACAACAACAGAAACTAGATGCCGGAAGCCGAACAGAAAAGAAACTAAACGACATAGCCTTGTAATAAATGATTGGATCGGGGTAAATATTAGTAAAAACAGCCTCAATAGTGGTGCTCACAAGGGCACAGTATTCCCCATAAAGGCCCCATAGATAGATGTTTATACCATACTGATAATTTAACTAAATGCCGAATACGTAGTCATTTATAATGCTGAAAATGGAAAGCAGACCCATACAGCTTTAGTATTCTATGATTATATATCTACGTATCGAGTGATGACCTATATATATTTTAAATATACCACACTGAAGGTATCTCTACACAATAGTTCATACGCATTCACACACAATGCTACTTATCTGCTAAGTTGAACGTACCTCACTCACACCGTATTATTGTATTATTTACTATAAAATATCAACTATGACCCATCGGATATTTTATTTATCAATTAAGATATATATCTACGTGCCTATGTTGTTGCACAGCCAAAAGAAAAACTTCATTTAAAAAATGATATCGTAAAAATAGGAAAACCGGAAACACATGCCTAGTCCTATGTCGGATTAAAAACATGAGAAATCGAAGCAAAAATGAACGGGAAAATGAGAATCGGAAACACATGCCTAGTCCTATGTCGGATTAAAAACATGACAAATCGAAACAAACATGAACGGAAAAATGAGAATCGGAAACACATGCCTAGTCCTATCGAAGATGAAAAAAATGAAAACTTGGAAATAGATAATAAGTAGATCCAAAACTCGTCTCGACTGAAACCCACAAATCATCCATGTCTGTTGTGTGTTGTATGGTGGTATAATGTGTGTGGAGCTTGGGACGAGAAGGAACCAGTCCTCCTCAGTCAACAAAAGTCAAATCGCGAACACTCGACAAATCAATAAAACAATAAATAACAACAACATTAACATGATAAATAATATAAATAACACAAAAATGGCCGTAAAATTTCTATGATAAGCTAAAGCTACCACGTGAAACATTA